AGTTACCTTTGGTTGCTGTGGGCACACTGGAGCTCCAACATCGCTGAACGCGACGCGATAGCAGCGTCCTGTGCGCTCGGGTTCGGCTTCCCCGCGGCCCCCGAAAGTCGCGCACCAAAAGCAATTATTGCCTAGGGTCACACTTGCGTGTCGCCGACGGAGATCTTGGCGTCTACGACCTTGGATCTTGGAGGGCAAACTCGACTCGAGAAGACCAACATCTGCGGCCTATGCCAAGTACCGCTCTCAATTTCCAGGATTCGAGGAATGACTGACTATCGACACATTGTTTGCGTGTATAATTATATAGACGCACTCGCGGTGGATACTTCTATAGACAGCGTCGGAGAAAGGATACATCCGTCTACGGTATGGTCCTGTTGTAGACCAGGTCGTAATTACATGGTGCTCCACCATCATTTGCAACAGAAGCAGCTGCACATTCGCCAGCGTGGACCCCAAGCATGGATGTCTTACAATCTATGCGGTTTAATGTTGGCTGTGCAAGCTGGTTGGTGCGAGCAATGCGGTGCAATCGGTATGGTGTCATTTGGTTGATGCAATCGATGTGGCGAGAAGCAATGCCAACAAATACCTATCAATGCCATCCAATGTAAAGCAGCACGACGTAATGCATAACAGCGCAAAGCATTGCAACGCAATGCAATTCAAAGCAACACAAAACAATGAAACGCAACGCGAATCAACGCCCAGCAATGTGGAGCAATGCAAAGCAACGCGATGCAACGAAAATTAGTGAAACGTAGTGCAAAGCACAGCAAAGCAACGCAAGCCAGCGCAGCGCAACACACAGCAACGCTATGAAAAGTAATGCAAAGCAATGCGAAGCATTGCGAAACAGCGCAATGTGAAGCGATGCGAAACAATGCAATGTACAGCACACTGCGAAGTAATGCACAGCTTCGCAGAAGCAATGCAACGCAAAGCAGTGCAAGCCAATGAAAAGCAACGCAAGGTATTACAATGCACGGCAGTGCAAAGCAATGAACACAATGGAGGAAATAATTGCAAAGCGATGCAACGCAATGCAACGCAATTCAATGTAGAGCACCATGTGAAATAATGCAATGCAGCGCAACGTAACGCATAACTAACGCAATTCAAAGCAATGCAAGGCAATGTATTGCAAAGCAACGCAACGCAATGCACAGCAATGCAACACAACACAAATCAACGAAACTCAACGGAAAGCATTGAGATTCAACGCAATCATCTCAAAATGAATCAGTGCAGGGACATGTAAAAAGCAATGCAAGGCAGTGTAAATCACCGCGTTGCAATTCAGAGTAATGCAAAGGAGTGCCAAGCGATGCAAAGCAATGCAACGTGAAGCAACGTGAAGCAATGCAAAGCACAACAGCGCAAGTCAACGTAAAGCGGCGACGACATGGAGTCAGACGGCGAGGCGGCGACGAGGCGGCGACGGGGCGGCGACGGCGACAGCACGGCCGCGGACCCGGCAACCGGGCCCAGACGACGGGCCGCGATTAGGCGGTGGCAGGGCGGCAGCGGTGACAGCAAGGCAGCGGACCCAGCAACCAGGCCCAGTTCCTTTGAACAGGAGGAAGAGGGGGATCATGAGCAGCATGAGGAGCATCAGGATCAGGGGCAAGAGGTGGAAGAGGGGGAAGAGGGGGACGAGGATGGGGGAGGATGAGCGCCAGCAGCAGCAGCAGCAGCAGGATGATAATGGAGGCGGAAACAGGAGAGAGAGAGAGAGTAGGAGAGGTGAGGATGAGCACTGGGAGAGTATGCACACATGTTCCAGGCCCAGTTCCTCAGAACAGAAATAAGGGAGCCGAAGTGCAAGAACTCATTATTTTGGGGGGATAAGTCCAAAGTTTGGGACATCCTCGCGGATTGTTTAAATCGTCGCTGCCAAGCCCACCCTGGCGGCGCCGGAGGCGCCGCCCCGGGCGCGCTCCGCGCGCCCAGCGCCGAATCAAGAAATCCTCGCAGACATCCAAAGCTTATGTTTTATCCAGTATTTTCTTCCTCCATTCGAGTTTGGGGGGTTTTCGGATGTCTGCGTTCTGGCGTCTTCGAGGTGCGGGGTTTTCGGACGTCTTCGTTCGTTCTCGACGGTTTTCCAGCCTCGGGATGCTCGCCAGCAGCTGTGCCTCGCCGAGGGCGTTCTGGGTGTGCCTGGATCGTCCCGGACGGCCGCCGGAGACACGAGAGATGCCCCGAAAGGCAAGAAGGAAAGTCTTGCGAGGTCTTCGGGTCGAGTTCGCTTCGGGTCTCGCCTGAGCCTCGAATCTTGGCGTCAGGCGTTTTCGCCTCAGTTTGGGCCCCGGGCCCTGAGTCCGGATCCGCCGTGTTTTGGGCGATGTTGCAAGAAGGGCGGAAATTCCGACCCTATTTCTCAAGTTCTTTTAGTGCAGATGTCCGCCTTATTTTGCCGTTGCTGTTTCCGCCATACTTTCGCAATAATATCCGCCCTATTGGTCTGCGGCGGGGAGTTTCATTTGTTCCCCATCGTTTCTGGTGCATTTCCCATACACCTGCCAGTCGGCAATCAATCTTGAGCACGGCGGATCTGAAGTCGGCGGGTGCCCTGATCCAGCTCGAAAAATGGCGCACGATGATTGGGTCCAGGGCCTGGGTCGTGATGATGTAGGATGCTGCGTTGTTTTGCAGCTGCGGATCTCAGGGAGGGTGGATCTGCCTGCGCTCACAAGGCTCGGGGCATATTGCGAACCTTGCTCGGAGGAGGTCGGCGCAGATTGCCTGATTCGGCGCTGGGCCCTTCTCCCTGACTTCTCCAGCGCCATCCCTGGCGCTCTCCGCGTGCCAGGGAGCGAGGCCCCCTTGCCGATCACAGGTATCCGCGAAGACCTCATCGTAATTACGGCTAGGCTTTTTTATCACCCTACGACAGGGCCTGCGGAAATTCCGCGGAACGAAGGAGGGAGGTCCGCTTCCATAGGACCAGGACTTTCGAACAAATTCCTCCTTTTGGAGGGGACAGAGGAGGGGTTTGCGTTACCCTGCGACCGAGACTGTGGAAATTCTTTTTTGGAGAGAGCGAGGGAGGGGGGAGAATGCCTCCACCCACTGCTGCAGCTTTTCTTCGTTCTCGGCGGGCGCGCCAAGGAAGTCCCCGGGCTATCAAGGAGTCCCCGTTTCCCCCTGAGAGGGCTCCCGGAGCCGCCCATTTGACAGTATTGCGAAGGCCTTACGGCCGGTGCCGCCGACCCTGAAGGGGAACGACGACGACGACGACGACGACGACGACGACGACGACGACGACGACGACGACGACGACGACGACGACGACGACGACCGACGACGACGACGACGACGTCGACGACGACGACGACGATGGCGATGGCGACGACCGCGACGACGACGATGGCGACGACGACGATGACGCTGACGTGGGTCAGAGTCCGCAAGAATTCTGTTTGGGGGTCTCTTCGGAGCGCTCTCGGAGGCCCCCGGGGGGCAGTTTTGGGGGCCCCTGGGGAGCATCTTGGGGGGCCTCTTGGGAGCCTCTCGGGAGCCTCTTGGGGCTTCCTGAGGCCTCTTGGAGCCTCTTGCTGGTCCTGAAAGGCTTTGGAGCCGCCCATTTTCCGGTATTTACGAGCCGCTGGCCAGATCGATAACATCGATGTGGTGCGGCCGGGCGACCGACCCATGTTCGCGAGCCGACGGCCGGGCCGGGTGAAACGTAGCACGCGGCCTGGAGAGGTCGGTGCAGCCCGATCTCTGCGCCGCCGCCCCCGTGCTGCGACTGGCGCCGGCGCTGACAGCGCGTCCAGGGGCGAAGCGCGGCGGCGAGAGGTGCCCCGTCGCCCTCCACTGGGATGGGCGCGGGGGTTGCCAAGGGGGTGGGGGGGTTATCAGTGGAGGCCAAGTGGGCTCCGCCCACTCAGCGGAGCTGTTTAATCCGCCAAAGCCCTTTGGGGCATGTGGAACCCATTCAGAAGCTAGGTTAATCTGAGCTCAAAATCCGAATTTGGTTACTGAGTTCAAAAACCAGTCTCCTGACTGGCATTCGAATTCGAGAACCTAACTCATGTGGCGTCCACTGATAACCCCCCTGTCCCCTTAGCAACCCCCGCGCCCCTCCCAGCAGGGTCTCGGTGTGCGCCGGCGTCTTGCCGGCCTCAAGGGGCGCAGTCTTTAAGGTCACCCGCAGGGGCGCGAACATACTCTGGACGGGGTATTTAGCAAGGGGCGGGTGCGCTGCACCTTCCGACTGAGCTTGCGCAATCCCGCCCCCCTCCATCATCAGTCCAGGCCGATGCTTCCCCTCCTGGGCCAGTCCCCCCCCCGCTAACGTTCCCCAGACCCCCTCGCGCTGGGAAAAAGAATCACGACGGGCAAGTTTTCACTATTCTCGGCCTCCCGGGGCCCTCACCGGGCCTCGGGACGGTAACAAAACCGGCTCGGGATGAAAACCCGGTCCCTGGGGAAGGGGTCCAGGCTCCTGGGGGTCGAGGTCAGGAAACCGTCACAACGACGGGGGCCTGGGCTAGGGAGGCGGAGGCCCTACGCGTCACACGCTCTCCTGGCCCGACGCCGCCAGGAGGTCGTGGACTTCCTCGCCCGCTGCGCCGACTGCGAGGAAGAGTTCGGCCCAGACAGCTCGCTGTGCGCAGGCGCGCGCCCCCCAGACCTCGCGCTGGGAAAAAATCACGACGGGAGGTTTTTCGCTATTTTTGGCCTCCAGGGGCCCTCACCGGGCCCCAGGAGCGTCAAAGAACGACCCAGGACGAGAAACCGGTCCCGGGGAAGGGGTCGAGACCTCTGGGGGTCGACGCTGTTCAACAGAATCATGACTCGGGGGCCCCCAAACGGGGTGGTGACCACACCGTGTGGTGAGTCGGTGGGGATGCGGGGTCACCGCACGGTTTTGGGACTCGAGTCCTTTTCCGAGGATGTCTCGGGCGACAGGGGCCTCCAGGGTCCCAAGACCGTGCGGTGACGGACCGTGCGGTGAGGTCTTGGGGGATTTCGAGGTCACCGCACGGTCTGTCACCGCACCGCTCCGGAAGTCCAAAATGACGTCGGGGGTCTGGGCCAACAGCGCGGGCCCGCTCGATCTCCCCGCGCCGCTCCTCTCCGTTGCCCCTCCTGGGAGCCGGGCGCTGCAGTCTGTTCCTGCCAGGCGCCGTCGCCATGCATGCTCCGGGCCCCGGGGGGCCCTCACAGAGCGAGCCGGCTCGAGGCAGGAGTTGAGGCAGGCGGTAGGCCAGCGGGCGCAAGCGAGTTGAGGCAGGCGTAGGCGTTGGTCGGGCTGCGGGCGGGACGCGCCAGAGGCGACGTGGGGCTTCCCGGGCCGGGGACCGGTTTTTGATCCGGGGTCGTCGTCCTGCAGGGCCAGGCGCCTGGCGAGGGCCCCTGGAGGCCGAAATTGGGCGACGCATCCCTTCGTGATTCTTTCGCACGGAAAGATGGGGCCCAGGGCTCTGGTCATGATCTCTCTCGCGAGATTGCCTTTTTGCTTTGCCGCATCTCAGGGCAGGGCTGGACCTGAACGCTGTTTTGCTGGACTTTGGCTGTTTGTTGTTCGTTGTGGCAGGGAGGTATTGGAAAGCAGGTAGAGCAAAATTAACAACACAAAACGAAACCAAAACGAGAAGCAACGTTTAGGTCCAGTCTTGTCTCAGGGCCCGTCGCCACCGCCGCGCAGGGCCGCCCCCGCCGCCTCTCCTCGGCCGCCCCTCGCCGCCTCCAGACCGCTCTCGAGGCACGGTCCCGGGCCGCGCCGGGGGCTCCCGCCATAGAGGCCACGGCCAAGTTGCGCCAAGGGTTGGCACGGCCTCGCACGGGGTATGATGTGTTGGACGTAAGTCGGGCATGTCCCTCTACAGGAGGAGTAGTCCAAAAACAGTCAAGGGACGATGTTTAACTATGTGTGACATTGTGGAGTATGTTTTGACTATTCTTTATGGTTCCTCCAAAGTCCGCCTGTAGGGGGACATGTCCGCCCTAACACTAGACGAGTGGTTGGAGTCCACGCTGGTATCTTTTTTGGTCCCGCGGCGGGTGTCTTCGAATTTCCTGGTCATATTTTCATGAGTCACCCTCTGAGGATGTAGAGCTTCGAGGCGGCTATGTGCGAGACCACTGGGGTGCGCGCTTGGGCGCCCGCGTGCCAGTTGCGCATGTTCGGTGCGCGCAGGCTACGCGCAGCGTGATAGGTACACCTCGCGTGCACGTGCGCATCGCCGCCGACAAGATCCCGGCTCCAACCCCCTGCGGCTCCTGGGCGCAAGAGGCAGCAGCGTTCATTCCCCCACGGCCTTGAGCAGTGAGGTTCTGGGCGCCAGAGCAAGACACCACACGTCGCCGCGCCGTCTGTTCCGACGCGCGGCCCTACGCCTGGAAGAGATCGCGCACAGAACGTCTCCGTGCGCGATGCGCGCCTTCGTGCCCGCCATCAAGTGACCCGCCCAGGGCTCGAGCCTGGTATCTCTGGCTCCGGAGGCCGACGCTTTATCCATTAGGCCACAGGGCCAGTCGGGTGCAGTCGACTCGGCGACGGACTCCGCCTCGGACGCAGAGTTGACCGTGGGCTTGCCGCGGTGCTGGCTTCGGCTACTTGGGATGCGGCACGGCTTCAGCACGCATGCGGCACGGATTCAACACGGATTCGACGCGTTCGACGCGGATTCGAAGTGGATCGTGGCGCGACGGGACAGACAAGGTCCCCCGAAGATGCAACACAAGGACTCGGGTCCTGAGGGACACGGTTCCTGAGGCTTTTTGTTGTGCTCGGCCTTTCGGGGCCTTCCACGGGCCCTGGTTGTCAGACAACGATTCAGGATGCAGATCTCGTCTTTCTGGAAAGGCCTTGGGGTGCAGGACCCGATTTCTCTTTCTCCTCCTCCTCCTCCTCCTCCTTCTCCTCCTCCTCCTCCTCCTCCTTCTAGGTTTCCCCCATGCTACGCTTGCATCGTCTGCCCTCCCCATGTCGGCTCTCTCGCGCGGCTCGCCCTGCACCCCGACCCGACATTTGGCTGCGGCTACCGTGGCGCACGACGTGCGTCCACGCCCGCCCGCCCCAGGCCGCCACCTTCTTCTCCGGCCGCCATCTCCCAGGGGGAAATCACACACAGACACAAGGAATCGTCGACGCCCAGGGAAAATATATAAAACTATTGAAAACTATGGGAAAAACGAGACAACCCAGAACATCGGGGAACATAAATGGGGAATCCTGGTCTTTTGTGTTTATTTCGTTGTGTGTCCCTGGGCCCCTTTAGTTATGTTTGTTTGAGGCGCACCCGCCCTCCTGCCTCGGGAAGCCCTCCTGCTTCGGGAAGCCGATGCAGGAGGAGGCCCGTGTCGAGGTCAGCGTGCCTTTTTTTCCCGCGATTGCGCCCGATCGCAATCACATGGGACCAATCCCAAGCATGTAGCACCCCGCAGTTGCGGATGAGACTGAGGGGGCGGGCGCGGGGTGGGTCGTAGGGTGGGTCGCGGGCGGGTCGCGGGCGGGTCGCGGGCGGGTCGCGGCCGCTTCGC